TCCACACTGTGAACCCAATTCCTCTCAAAACTAGTTCTAAGATGGATGATAGTATCTGTGTAGAAACACCCCAAGCCTCCTTAGATGAGCTTGCCGAACTCATCCAGAAAAAAATGCATTTTGGACTACAGTTTGCAGAATTCTGCAGACAACTTGACCATAGTCATAGAATCATAGAGTTGGAAAGGACTGTATGGGCCATCTAGTCCAACCTCCTGCCATGCAGGAAAAGCACATTCAAAGTACCCTTGACAGATGGCCATCCGGTCTCTGTTTAAAAGAAGTAGCCTCTACTACACTCCAAGACAGAGAGTTCCACTGCTGAACAGCTCATATAGTCAGGAAGTTTATTGAGCATTGTAGTTCATCGAACATTGAAGTCCAAAACAACTTCTCCAGGTCTTTGAGATGATAAGTAATACATAGGACTCTGAAGCAAACATTTTTCAGTATACTTTCAGTATAGTTCTGTTGTCCTGGAATACATGTAAGTATTTTTAAATAAATAAATGATTTTATATTGTGCCAAGGAAAGCCATTCTTATTACATTAGATTGTAAACTGAAATGATTGCAAAATTTCCTTGCTTACATTTCTTTGGCCTTAATTGCATTAAGTTTGGGATTTTGTCTAGCACAAGATCAAGCAGAATTTCTGTTGTGATCCATCTGAGTTATAATGTTACAAGTTATTGTAACATCTGGCATGGAGGTTCAGAACAAGCAGCTCTTTATGAAACAACATCAAGGTTGTTGTATTCTTTTTGTGGACTGTTTGTATTATTTGAGTTAATTAGAAATGTGGCTTGTATAGATATAAATGGTGAATACCACAGCTCAGATGAGTTCTGAGCTGAAAGAAACCTAAGAATTTCATGCTAATAAGGTTCCAATTAAACATTATACCAACCCCATGAGGGGGAACATCAAAGAGCCACTGACATAGTGCTTTCTCATACTAGAGTAAATGTTACAGTATTCAAATAGTTGTTATTGTTTTTGTATAACTTCAAATTGTTTCTGACTTATTTTGTCCCTACATAGAGTTTTCTTGGCAGGATTGTTCAGATGGGATGCCAGGTGCACCTCAAAACCATCCATGGTAGCAGGGACTGTGTGGGTCCTTCAAGCCACTGGAGAAAGATTATAGCCAAATTCTGTCTTTGATCAAAGAGTTTCCCCTTACATAATTAAGGGTACAGACTGACCACCTTCATTCATGAATCAAAAGGAACAGTTTATTGATTGGCTGACACAAATTTATAAATTCACATTGCAAGGGTAGCACATGTATGGATAAAGATTGGTTTAGTTACAGTATCATTAAAGTATAATGGTTCAGTTACACAGTAGTGCAGGATGATTCCAGTCTGTCCTTGAGTGGCTATAATGTATTTGTAGTAATGGATGAGAACTGAGTTAGGCACATTACCTTTTTCTTGTACTTTATCTGAAAAAGGTGGGAATAAAAATGAGAGTTGTACAATAAAATTGAGGTATTTTTGTTCTAAAGCCAAAAGATCTTTCAAACTCTGTGTCCCATAGGACACAGTTCTCAGGTAAAATATGTGTTACTTCTCAAAAGTAAAGTTAGTTAAGCTCTGGATACTTATTTATGGTATTTCAACACGTGTTGGGGATGTTTTTCTCCAAAGTATCCTTTACCCCTTACAGTGTTACAGCATTTTATAGACCTTATTTCATCAACCTTATTTCATGAAAGCCATATGACTGTTTTTCTACTGCAACAGACTAACACAGCAAACCTGGGAATGGATCCCAAGGAGAGTGATCCATGTTGTTGAGATGTACTGCTTTCTATTTGCCATTGTTAGTAGGAACCTCTTCACATGGGGAAATTTTGGCTCTGGCACATACACTCACCCACATTCCTCCCAAAGTGGAGGGGAATTGGTGCAACATGTTTCCTCCTCAACGACACAGAGGAAAGTGTTTTTTGCGTAGTTCCGATGGAGCTAGCCGCACTTTCCTCTCCATTTCCCCATAAGATGGGGAAAGGGTGCCGGGGACACCTTTTTGCCCACTTGATGGGGACAAGGCAACAACATGCCTTGTTCCATCCCCACCATATGATGGGGGAAAGAGGGGGTGCATAGGGCACCACAAGGCACCCCATGCAGTTTCCCTTTTGATGGCAACTGCTGGTGGAATGACACAGTCCTAGGGGCTGTGTGAAGAGGTTGTAGCTCAAGAGTATTAGGTGTAACATTAGACTTCCCACCTTATCACATCGAGAAATGTTCCCATCATAGGACACTTCATCCTCTTTTCAAGCATGGGGAGGCACTGAGCCCATCTCATGAGTTAAACTATTTCAAGCCATCATGCCTGAAAAGAGGCAGAAATGACCTGAAAGGAGGGAAGTCTGGCAATTGACTTCATCACATTGAGAAATTTCCCCCTCCTAGGACACTTCAGCCTTTTTTCAAGCACGGAGAGACATGGAGCTTATCACATGTTCCAGGGCTGGAAAGAGGCAAAAATGTCCTGAAAGAAGGGAACTCTGAACACTGGCCAGCAATCGTGTTCAGAGTTTCTACCTCTTATCAAGCTTTACTCCCATAGTTCTAATGGAAAAACAGGTGGGATGGAAAACATCAAAGTTCCCTGTCCTGTTTCATTGCCCAACCATCAGCAGTCTCTTGTATGATATGAGGTTTAGGGCAGAACAATATTATTCAATTTTATCCCATGGAAAGAAGTGGTTTCAAACTGGTGTCAGTCTCCTTTAATGTAAGGGGTTTTGGGAAGGATAAAGAAACTCTTGGCTTTTGGGTGTTTGGGGGGGGGGGTAATACTGACCGTATAATGAATGTAAGATGAATGTATCGCCAGCTCTTAGGTTTCCACATGTGTGATGGAGAGACGGAACTTGAAACTGTTGTCCCTGCTGACAATATAAGATTATTTATGCTAAAAGGATGGCCACCTGTTCTTTTCTATCTTAATGTGATGAGGTAATAAGCACCATGACTAGAGATGAAAGTAGTTAAGTTTACATTAGACAATAGCAAAGCAAGTTTGAAAGTGGCCTAAGAAATCAAAGAAGAGAAAATGCAGCTGATAAAACAGCAAGAAACATTTCCACTTAAGCAAGTATTAAGTAATTTCATTCAGAGAGATCTAAGAGTTGTTCAGCTCACCTTTAATAAGGGTTTCTCACTGAAATCAGTGGAATTCACTTAACTGTGGCTGAACGGTGCCTATGATACCTTCCTGACTGCTTATCTCAGGTACAGAAACTCATCTCACTTGTCATAACATTTTCCCCATCTTGTGTTTTTATAGGCCATTCTTTTGGATGACACAGATTTAGTCAGCATTCTATGAACCTTCCTAAAGTATCTCCCTTCTCCTTGTGTGAGTGTTTAATAATGCAAAATAGCTACATTAGTCCAGAAAAACTACATAGCATAAAAAGAAAGAAATCTTTTGTGCTCCAATGCTTACTCTTTGCTTGCCATTTTTAAAGTGGCAGGAGAACATATCTATATGAAGAGTACATGGATTCTTCCTGTTTTTATTCACATTATTGGAAAATGTGCATCTGTGTGCATGTTTGCAAAGCTGATAATCTCATTTGACATTATATTAATAATGTGCATCAAAACCATTATTGCCTGTATGGAAACTTTCAAGCAAACAGCAGGGTGAATATAATAATGGGTAGTAAGGAGATAGAATGCACTACATGATCAAATCACCCAAGAGGATATTTAATTAAATTTTCATCAAAACTCTCTAAGAGTATGTCCGTGCCGGTGAAATTGTCATAAATAACTTATTTGTCCTTTTAAGCATTAATAGAGTAATAAATGTTATTAACACCACTGAATGTCCTTAAAATAATCCTTCAAATATTATTATTCATGAAAGAGTTGATAGCCAAACAATAGGACACTTTTAATTGTGGCACTGTTTATCACCTGCACAAAGAAATAGACAAAGTCTGGAAAATGCACATCAAACAGGGTAGGAGCCCACCAAACCTTCACAAAGCAGAATTGCTTTCCCATTGAAATTAATTAGGCAGAATATTAATTGGGCTCAGTGTGTCCCCTCTTCTCAGAGGAATGATGTCATATTTGAGTCGGTGGATCCAAACCTGCCTTTATTTTATCCGTGGGATTTGGAAATCCTCTTTCAGTGGTACATTTCACAACTTAAGAGTTGGAATGGGCTGGAAGAATCATTTAGTCTTTTGCCTCTACCTTTGCCATGGAGGTCTCACTGTGGCTTTTAGAGGATCCATGACCCCCTTCCTATATGGTAGTAGCCTCAGATGACTAAATGGGTTAGAATTTCTCTGTATATTTTTCAGGCTAACCTATGATTTTACTTTAATAGTTAATTTAACAAGTTTCTTCTCTGGGATTCTAACCCTAGTTCTCCAGATATATAAACTTGGAAAAAGCTATGGTTGTTTGAGCAACTGAATTTTTTTTTCTATACCAGTGGTTTCCAACCTTTGGGCCTCCAGGTGTTTTGGACTTCAACTTCCAGAAATCCCAGCCAGCTTATAATAATAATAGTAATAATAGTAATAATAATAATAATAATAATAATAATAATAATAATAATTTTATTTTTATACCCCGCCTCCATCTCCCCAAAGGGACTTGAGCAGCTTACAGAGGGACATGCCCAACAAAACAGGTTAAAATAAGCATCGAAAAACAAGCAATATCAGACATCAATAAACATAAAATCAGACAACATTATAAAAAAGATTAAAAGCTATCATGGCTAAGCAAATAAAGTGCTGTGTTTGGTTCATAGTTACTAAATGCAATGAATCCTAAGAAGAGCCAGGGAAAGTGCGACAATCGGAGGGCTGGGCTAGGAGGCAAATGTCCTTAGGCTATTAAAGTGTTAGAAGTGCCAGAAAGGGACCGTGATAAAGTGCATGAGATGGATAGATCGGGAAAAACTGCCTAATCAAAGGCACAACGGAACAGCCAAGTTTTTAATGCCTTGCAGAAAATGGAGAGAGTGGGACCCTGTCTGATTTCCCTGGAGAGGGAGTTCCAGAGCCAAGGAGCCACCATAGAAGACCCTTTCCCTCGTCCCCAACAACCGAGCTTGTGAGGGTGATGGAAGCAAGAGAAGAGCCTCCCCAGATGATTGTAAAGTACGTGCTGGTTCATAGAGGAAGATGAAATCACGAAGATAAAGCCCGAACCATTTAGGGCTTTATAGGTGATAACCTGCACTTTGTATTGGGACCAGAAGCTTATTGGAAGCCAATGGAGCTGTTTGAACAGGGAGGTTGACTGTAACTAGGAACTGTGACAGCTGAAGTCCAAAACACCTGGAGGCCCAAAGGTTGGGAACCACTATTCTATACAATTTTCAGATAGATAGACCACACGGGGAGAAATAAATAAATAAGGACAACAAATCCTCCCTGCAACAATCTGTATGCAATTTAATTCAGGTCTCAATTATTCCTACTTGTTCCAAACACAAGCCCTATTGAAAGAAAATATATGTAGGAGTTCTGTTCTTTGGTATAGATGGAAGCTCAAAATTCTTTGTTTGCTAACTGTACATTATTATAAATGTATCAAACATCCGCTCTATATTAACTCATAATGAACATATCCATCTGTCTATGGGTATTTCACAAGTTACAGTCGTCATGTTGATGGCTACCGTAATCACACCATATGGCAGCTTCTACCATATGCTAAGTTGCTTGTGTTGTTTGTTGAAGCCAATTACTACATGGATTTGGCAGGCATTTTTACACACCATTAAAAGTCTTTTAAACCAGTGAGCAGGCAACTTATGTGCAGGACAGGGGCCAATTTCCCACCCTCAGACACACCACAGGCTGCCATCACCTTGTCCTGCTGGAATCAGATGTGCCCATATACCCACTTGCAGCAGGCTGAAATAAAGTGCATCTGAAAAGATGTTCCAGGATTTTAATTCTAACCAGCCCAAGGAGTTGTGTGTGGAATTCATGTCTCCCATTTTATTTGTTTCTTTCATTTCTTTGGGAACACGGAACAGGAACATCCCACCTGGTATAAAAATCAGCTCAACACAAAAGCAAACAGGAGCGGGTACTGGCTCCTGGCCTGCTTTTTGCCATCACAGAGTAAAAGGCGCTCGGCTGCAGGCACTGGCAGGCACAGGCACTCCTGCACATCTCACATGCACTCTGTAAGGGATGAATGTACACTTGGACAGGGGGGCCAAGCAATCACACCCACTGCCCAACAGCTTACAGGGTTATCGTTCAGCTGGACACTTCTTTGAATAAAGATAGTTAACTATAACAAAGGGGGGAAGACTCTCTTATCCCACCTTAGTACTATATTTTTTAAGTGACCAACTGGGATGTAGTTGTAGACCGATGTATTTGTTAAAATCACTGCCACCACCTCAATTAAATAGGTCTGAGGAAAACCATATGTGTGAAGGTGAAAAGAGGCAAAGTTGTATTCAAGGTTTTTGTTCTTCTTTGACCACTGTTATTTTTTTGCTGACTGGACTGAAAAGAAATCTTCTTTAAGTTAGCTGAGATGCAAAGGTTATAATAGACTAAGGCAGACTTTAATTTGAAGGTGAAATAAGAAACAGGTTTATTTTAGAACTTAATGAACAGATCAACTCTTAAAAAGAGTGGTACAATAATCTTGATGCAGTTCAGTTTCTTGAGGCTTAGCTGGTTTTAAACAGGCAGTCTTACAATAAAGGCTTCAACTTTTGTTTCACAGTGAGTTCCTTATCCCCACACTGATCACTAACTGACACAGTGTGTCTTTGAGCACAGTAATACAAACTGCCTCCTAGAGCAAATCAGGCTTCCCTTTCACTGTCCCTACTCTGACCAGTGAACCAGGATCCTTTGTCTATCCCTTGCTCTAATTCTCAAGGTTCACACAAAAGTCTTCCCTCCCTGCCTAAGATATTCACAGCTCTCCCTTCTTAAAATATACGTCTTTACTCCACGATGTCTAAACTCCAACTTCCCTTACTTGTCAAATAAGCCAGCCTTTTCCCCCTCTAAATCTTAACTCCACCCCTGATTGTCCTAACCAATCAGGAGTCGGCTGACTCCTCCCTCCTGCCTCTGGATCTCTTGCCTAACCCAGATGGCATGATATTGACCTAGTTCAAATATCATGGTAAGAAAAAGGGCGGGTAACTATGGTGTTCCAAGGACCAATTTTCAGCCCCAGGAAATTGGGTGCTGCACAAGGCACAAAAATGACCGTAAAGAAACAAACAGGGACGTGATTACAAATCCACTTCTGATTTTGAAAAATAGGGCAGCACCACCTTTTAAAATTTTTTGAAGGGGTGATTTGTAATGGCAAATAAAATAGATCTGAGGCTGAGGACCACAAAAAAAAGTCTTGTGAGGCTGCATGATGCACTTTGCTTACCTGTGCCAATTATCATTGTGTACTGTAGTCAATATTAACTGTGACTTGTTTCAAATCATAGTAAGCTATGGGTATTATTAAGCCCTATGCCAAATCACAATAGTTGACTATGGTTAATTTTGGCAGTAGTATGTTTCAAACCAGTTTGTTTTAATTAAAGAAGAAGCCGTAAGTTAACTCTAGTCTTTCAGAGCAGAATAAAAGGGATAAACCCACAATTCTGTGAAAACTTAAGTGAAGCCTTTTAAACTCCTTCTCAAGGCAATGCTTGAAGAGAAGAGGGAGCATTTGGGCTCTAACTTCTTTGCAGTTTGTTCTGTCTGTTTCAAATCATGCTAAACCATGGTTTAACAAATAAGGTCATTGTGTACTTGGTGTTCTCAACAGCTTCTAACAAAGGCCTCTCAGCAATTTAACCATCACACGATATGAAAACAGCATGCTGTCTGGCATTCCACAGATGCAAACTGGGGCATCTGTGTCCAAGCAACATCAGAGTGTTGTCGGGATGGCAGAAGTTATTAAAGAGGAAGATCAGACAAGTGAGTAGAGGCTGTGGCAGATTGTTTTTGCCTGATCCCATAACAAAAGGCAAAATTCCATGTTTTTTCTCTCCTTGACCTTGTATTGTGTTAACTGACTGCAAACAACATTTGTACTTTGAATTCAGTTTGTAAGACTTCAAACTGGGATGTTTTAAAAGCTGCTGAAAAAGTGGAATGACAGTGGTTGAATTGGGACTGTCTCTTGCTTAAATGGGATTATTACAGGGTATGAAACATCCTTTCATGGTCTACAACTTGCTAAAGAATAGAATATGTCACTACTACTGAAATAAGGGCCTTCATGATATGTGGATCCCTAATCTTCCTTCTATTATATCCTTCTGTATTCACAGCAATATGGTATGTAATGCCGTTTTTTAAAAATATATATAGGAACAGAGATTTACTTATTAACATTAGCAACAGGTAGCCACTTACTAAACTCCTGCTCTAACCTCTGGGCTTGATCCTTTACCTTTTAGAAAACTTGTACATAAATTCTGTTTATACAATCAACAGTGGGGTTATTATGGCTGATTTGGAGACTGATAACAATGAGACAGATTCATCCTGGGTGAACAGAGAGAGTTAATGATCAACTATCCCCTACCCAGAGCAATTTTGATAAAATAATGAAAAGTTGAATAGTAAAAGCAATTTTGCATTTCATGGTACCTCAAAAGTACCTCATTTAACTTTTACTATCACACTGGCAATGAAGATCCACATAATTAAAACAATGGTATTCCCCATAGTAACCTATCGATGTGAGAGCTGGACCATAAGGAAGGCTAAGCAAAGGAAGATAGACGCTTTTGGACTGTGGTGTTGGAGGAAAATTCTGAGAGTGCCTTAGACCGCAAGAAGATCAAACCAGTCCATACTCCAGGAAATAATGCTCAACTGCTCACTGGAGGGAAGGATGAAGTACTTTGGCCACATAATGAGAAGACAGGAAAACTAGGAGAAGACAATGATCCTGTGGAAAATGAAAGGAAAAAAGAAGAGGGGCTGACCAAGGGCAAGATGGATGGATGGTATCCTTGAAGTGACTGGCTTGACCTTGAAGGAGCAGGGGTTGGCGGCAGCCGACAGGGAGCTCTGGTGTGGGCTGGTCCATGAGGTCATAAAGAGTCGAAAGTGAATGAACGAATAAACAACAACAAACATCCCTAATCTGGTGTGCTGCAAATGTTTTGATTGGCATCTTTATCTGGTGATCCCATTGGCTGAGGCAGGTGGGAGTAGAAGTCCAAACCTTCAAGAGGGCTTCAGGTTGGAGAAAGAGAGTGCACATGGTACTTTTTAGGCAATGAGTTTCTTGCATTAATAGAATAGTAAAAGTTAAATGAGGTACTTTTGAGGTACCATGAAATGCAAAATTGCTTTGGATTGATTTTTGTTTTCTTTGGAAACACTTTCTTCTTAAGTGTGGTCTGGCTGTTTGTTCAGCTTTGGCAGAGGCTCTGGAAAAATACAATAGTTAACTTGGCAATTTTTTCCAAGCGGACTAAAAGTTCCCTTTGTTTTTCTCTTCAATGGAGATCAGTGTGTGCTGCAAGCAAAGGACAAGTTCATTTTCAAAGGTATCTGCCTAGCATCCAAGCAGAGAAATCAGTTTTTTTCAGGCTTGGTTTGTTTGCAAATAAACTCAACATAGATGAAAATTTTAACACATTTATATGAGGTAAATAGTGAAAGACAATATGGAAAATATGTTCTGAATGTATCAAAGATAAATAGGTGAAGAGTTTTTTAACAAAAAAATCCTCATTAAACATATGAGAGTGCAGCCCCCACATCTAACTGCTCTCACTCACCTTCCTAATGACACTCTCAACTTGCTAGCTGCCATCAATAGTATATAATAGTAACATAAAATGAAGCTCACCATTTCAATAGACATTAGGAAGTGGCCAACTCCAACAATTGATTTTGTGTGTCTTGAAAGGCCAGCAGACTATTTATTATTTGATTTAGTTCCATTGTATTTTTACCAGCAAGCCAGCATGGAGTGTTGGATTATGGCTCTGGAGACCAGAATCTGTATTCCTGCTCAGCCATGGAAACCCCACTGGGTGGCCTTGGGCAAGTAATACTCTTGCAGTCTCTGAAAAAAACTTGCTAATACAACAATGTGATGGAGTCACAGTAAGTCAGAAAAATACTTGCTGCAATGCTAGAAA